CGTTATTCCGGAGGCAAAGTGACCTGACCAAAAGACTGGTACTTCAAAGTTTAAAATTTCCTTTTATTCACTTGTTATAGTTTTCTACACTGTTAAAAAACGTCTATGAAAAACACCCCGAATTTTCATTTTTTCCTCTTGACTTCAGATGCAGACAAGTTCGAACCATGCACTGCCAAGAAGAATCTCTACTGTGCGTCACGCTTCGCAGAGGAGGTCCGAAATGGCGGAAAAGCCTTCCATGCCCTTACAAAATTTTGGGACTGTTACGAATCCAAAACCATGGCTTGTGATGACCAAATCTACAAAGATTACGTTGCAGACGTTAAGACAGCTGGGAAGAAATTGCGCGACTTTATGAAGGCATTTCCAGTTCTTATTCCCTAAAACTCCCAGTATTAATAAGCCCACTTTTAATATAACCGGGTGAGGATCTAGATATACGGCTATTTCAAACAAACTACAAGGGTTGGTGAACGTTTTGTTGCATGTTGCACGTAGCATACCAAGCCGCCGAACTGCACTCTGAATTCAATCAGAGTAAAAACATTGTGACCGGATCACAACCATACGAAATTTCCCCAAACTTAATTTGTCGTCTACAAGTTTTCCTGCATGGCATTATTTCTTGTGCCGACATAAATTGACCTATAAATATGCGTTTCAAGATGATTAAACAATATACAAATTGCCAAAAAACCCTTCACCCAACTTTTTTTATTTGAAATAGCTGTATATCAGATAAAAACTGTYAAAAATAAGATAAGCCAATCTCTTTACCTTGTAAGTCACGCTAGTGTCAAGTCACTCAATCCATGTTGACGTGACATAAAGGAGCTTGTGATTAAATACAGTATTAAARTGAGAATGAAGAATTAAATCTCCTTTAACCAAACCGGGTCTGTTGCTTATCGTTTGTGTAATGWCTTTATAAACGAMGAAATRAACRAACTATCGCAGGAAAGAAAGATTAMAACAGTTCTWAGAACTCGTTTTGGGCTAAAAATYTTTATGCAGTTTACTTTCCATTCATCTTACTCCATTTATCCATCCGTTCCTCTCCACTTCGAGGGAAATAATTTTAAACCCATCAGAATACGCGCTTTTTGTTGCCCTCTTTAGCGTCTCTGTTTGATATCGACTTGGTTTACTATTGCTTAGGTCACGTGACATCTTTAATGAAAGTAAATAGAAAAGTAAGAAATACGTTTTTAACTAATAGAATTATTTTTAATTAAAATGAAAAATRTTTCATACATGAAGCCCTTTTCTTTTTCGGTAATTGTTATAATACGCGGAATGAACTATGGTGTATGGCTTTACTTTGAAATAGGTTCCTATCCTAACCAATCACGAAGCTGGAAAATKTAACCCGACCAATCACGTTTCGTGAATATGGAAGCCATTTCAGTGTCAAAGTACCACAGGTTCCCCTCGGTCAGAAAATTGTTTTGCTTAAAGTTAAATACCCCAATTTACACACACTAAATATAGGAATCCTAGAATCTTTTTAACCTCCTTTGTAAATCACTAATAAATTCTGGAAAATAGGAAAGAAATCATACGTTTTGTTTATGGAATTTGAGAAATTTCGTTCTCATTCTTATATCTATATAAAGAACTCATTTTCACTTCATTCTCAAAGAAAAAATATATACAAGCATTGGATTAATTGAAAAGGTACGAAAATACAATTCTGTAATACTGAATACTAAAATGAATCATCTATGAAAACTATATGAGCTATTAAACACATAGCTTATAATATTAGCTAGTTTTTTATTAGATCTGTTACCAAGCCTTACCCTCTCCCTCCCCCCTCAGGAATCATGATGACACTCTACAAAATTCTATTCCTTTGTAGACAAAGAAAAAATATTGCATTAATTACAGGATTCCAAYCACCTAAATAAGGCTTCCACTCCTCTATGGACTTTTTTCACGCAGCAGCCATGTTGATTCGAACAATGCCAACACGAGTAGCTTCGCATTCAAGTGCTTGAGAATAAATTTAATCAATTTGAACATGAAAATTAACATGGCCGCCATGTGCAAGGTCCATCGCTCTGTTAAATTTGCTTTTAAAAATACCAGTATTTACATGAGAACAATCTAGTAACCATCTTCAAGGTTATACTAGTTTGTATAGATAATTGCTAAATTCATTACAAAATTATTCAATCAATGTTCGATATCAATATAGTATCATTATTTATAGTGAGTATGACGGCCTACTTAAAAGTTGAAGCCCAAATGCACAATCTTCTTTTAATGCATATTTTCAGGAAATTAAAGAACAGTTCTGGAAATCTCCTTCTTTGGAGGATTCTTTGCTCTTTTGTGGAGGAGGCATTGAAATAAATAGATCTCTTTACCTTGGGCCTGTTTTTCTCATTTCAGTCCATGTGTCATTCCCTGGAGCATCATTTATTTGTTTAACGGTTGTGTCTGAGAAGACACATGAATATGGATACAATTCAAATGAAGAATCTTATTCTCAAGAGAATGACATRTAGTCTGAAATAGCAAAACATTAAACGCAAGGCAAAAAGGCCTATATGCACATTGGTGGTAACGGTTTTGTGCTACATTTATACATTAAAAGTTCTTTTATACATTTAAGGCAGTACACTTGGTGTACATTAAATTACTTATTAATGAATATTAATAATAAATCGACAATAGGAACGTAGTCCCTTCTTACCACTGCTTTCATTGCTATACACTGATGAAGATAACGACATAGTAATTGGGAAACACTACCATCGATGGAATAAATGTTTTAATAAAGGCCCCGTCCACACRTATCCGGAAATGTTTGTATCCGCAAATTTTTCTTTTCGGATACTGGTTGCRTYCACACGTGTCCGCAAATTTTTTTATCCGTATCCGCAAATTTTACGAAAACGGATACGTGTGGACGGTGAAAACGATTCGAATACGCTGCRTGTGGACGCAAACATTTTCGTATCCCCAAAAAATAATTTGCGGATACAAACATTTCCGGATACGTGTGGACGGGGCCAAAATAACTGTTATAAATCTCACGTTCTAATTGGTTGGGAGCGTGTGCTTTATGAGAGCACGCAGAATGCGAACACACTTTCAGTGGCGTCATTCTTTAATAAAACRAYRGCTATYGTAATTTSGAYTGGCAGAACACTCAAGAAGTGTCAAGAAGCACTCCGCTAAGTGTCGTGTTTCTCCTAACACTTCTCTCGTGTTCTGTCAAGCCCCTCGTGCTTTATAACTGCACACAGCATGCGTGCTTGACATTTTCTATTTCTTCGAGAGTACAAAAGTTACTACTCTAACAAGTTATTTGATTATTTGATCGGTAGTCTGTTGCTCAAGCCATTTCCCTGTTGCAACTGTTATCTCAAACAGCATGTAGCCATGACAACAGTGGTATCAATATCAATATCTCAAATGAATGAATGAATGACAATTGGTAAAATTCAAATACTGACAATTAAAAATAATCTATAATTCATTGGTAATGACTTTCGTATCGAATAGACATTTTAAATTTAGACAAAATGTTTTTTCCCATTTCAGACCACATGTCATTCCCTAGAGTATCATTTTTTTGTTTAACGGTTGTGCATGAGAAGACACATGAATATCGATACGACTCAAGCTTGTAAAGAATCTTATTTCTCGTGAGAATGACACGTTCTGAAATAGGAAAACATTAGGCCCAACCATAAAAAAGTATATATTACTTTATTATATAAAATCCAATGAGATATCAGGTAATCTCTCGCTTGGGAAATTGATATCTTCACACGTGAAGATAACATGTTATTTTCACGTGTGAAGATATCACCATTGCGTCATGACTATTCAAAAATACAAGGAAAGAATTGCCTGAAAAAGCCAAAACATACTTCATTGATAATTATATAATAAACAGAATATTACATGGGCGCTTGGAGATACGAAATTTATCTTCTCGTGTTGAAAATCTCTCACTCGTTTGCTGCGCTCACTCATGAGAGATCTTTTCCAAAACTCGAAGATAAATTACGCATCTCCGCGCGCCCATGTAATATCCTCTATATAAGTTAGTAACAAGGTCTACTTCTTGATGACCACTCACCTCTGATTAGAACAAATGAATGGTTTCTCACAGCCCATGGCATACTTTCTTTTGGCATTAGAATAATGGTATTTATTGGGTGATGTGTTCATCTACTGCCATTTTCATAAACATGCAAACTTGGTAGCTGCGAGCTGCACCTGAAATTTGGCTTTTCGCTGCCGCCAGTCAGAACTATGAAAGCTACCGACTGATTATATTTAATTGACGGCAGTGAAATCCAAATTTCAGTGTGCAGCTCACAGATAGAAGAGTTTGCCTGTTAATTAATCGGGTCGCTTAAGCAGCACTTACAGTCATTTATTGTAACCTCTTCATCTCTTGTTGTCTTGTGATTTTAGGTCTATCAACCAGAAAGCCAAGCCCTATTGCTCTCTTATCATACCAACAAAGAGTTAGATAGTCTTTTTTTTTTTATCTTCTCATCTTCTCCATCCTAAGACGGATTACTGATTTTTCTAGCTCTTTCTTGTGGACTTGAATTAGGGCTTGCACCAGGTGAGCCACGGTTCAAACTCTTTGCTGTGTTGCGCGCTCGCAATTTCTTGAAAAGACCAGTTTTAGGTGAAGATAAGACAACATTGGAGGTGCGAGGAGAAGATCCCTGGTTAGAATCCTGAGCACAGAAGAAAAAAGGGTAAA